GAAGTCAGTGTTTTCGAGCAGCGCCACCAGATGGAGATGGAGACACACTTATAGTGGCAAACTACATTGTAGCCACAGCTGCCCTGGGGCTCACTGACAGAAGAGAGGCTGCCGTACTCTGGTGCCACCGGGCCCTCTGACCACCATCAGTAGGCAAATCAGGGGAAGTATCTTGCCCAAGGACACAACGACATTGAAAGCCGGAGCTTGAACCGACAACCCTCCGATTGCAGGGCAAACTCTTGCACCCGACGCCACCATCGCCCCACATTTTGGTTTCAATAGTCAGGAAGAAAAGAATAAACTGAAGCCAGACCACCGATCTCTTCATTTAATAGCTGACAGCACCAGATGGTTCTGATACGATCAGTGTTTGTTCTGATAAATGACGATTCACGATTAAACTCCCTCACCTCAGACTTTAGACAACTTCATGTGGTTGGTGCGTTAGGGTGTACCGACCGACCCACCCTCACTCACCCCCACCTCACCGTAGCAAGTTTCTGGACATCCTCATCGGTTGCTCCCAGTGAGGCCAGGCCGATCTCCTGGGAGAACTGGGCAAACTTCGGGTCAGCCAGAAGAGGAACATGACCCAGCAGCTCGTGACACGTATCTCTAGGAACACAAAGAAAAGATCATAGGTTTGGACCTCAGGTTAGACATTCTGACAGGGGTTGTTCAGCTTTGGAGACTGTTGGAACAGATGTATATAATATCTCATATTTAATTATTTTACAATACCTTTTATACTTCTATACTGAATATCTATTTGTTTCCCTTAAAATTGCAATGGCCTGGTACTTATTTCTGTGTTGACATGTTTTGCAGAAGTTGAGACGGGGACTTGAAGAATTCTTGTACCGGTCTCCATGCTGGGATGGTATGCAGGGAGTTAAAGTGGGAGTGACAGAGAGCAGCTGTCTGCTCACTCTAGACAATTCCCTTTAAACATTCCCTTTAAAGTTCTTATTATTAGGTAAATCTACCATAAAGATAGTGTTGCTGCTGTTTTTCCCTTTTCCTTTAGAGCAGCAACATTCATGTAACTAGGGACGTCCTTTAATCAAATAAAAAGAGAGGATGGGGGAGAGGGGGTTTCAGAGCGGTTCTTTAATGAGCAAACTGCTCTATAGATGTCGTGTTAATCAGTCTGTTCTAAGGAAGATGTCCTCAAATGGTCATCACCATTTTATGTAGAGCAGTAATTAGAAGCATGACATAGAACTTTTTTGTTCACAGGATTTATAAACTGTTGACATCCAATACAGTATTTATAAACAAAATCTTTAACAGAGCTGTGGCAGATTGTCAGAACTCAGCTGCTGATCTCTTATTAGTGTTTATAAACAGAGCCAAGTTTTATTCTGGCTTTCAAACAACAGATAGGGATATATATAAAGACTCCAAACTGTTTATAAACTGAATCACTACCAGAGTTTCAGCTATGGTTTATAAACACCAACAGATGGTGATAAAGGCTTGTAAACAGACACTTTTATCACATTTGAGCACATGATAACAGATCAGTGTTTTTATAAACAAAGTGAACAGAGTGTCAGAAGCTATAAGGGATGTGAAATGAAAGTGAGTCAGACTTCAGGCTATAAGGACTTACGGTTCTGGTGTGTAGAGTGGGTCAGTGCTGTGACGGATGTACTGTGTGCAGTTAAACACTCTGTAGGCCAAACCAGCGAGAAAGTCTCTGGGAGAAAGGTAACCTGCCACAGGTCGCACCGTAAAGCCAGAACGCTCTGAAAGACACAGGAAGTGATGTAAAGGTCCTTCGTTATACGACAGGACAGCAACATGATAATTAGCCCCACTTTTAAAGACAGTTTAAAACCTTCCTATTAACGGGTATCTGAGATTATCAGGAGTTATCACTGAAGTAATGCTGTTCTCTGCTATTTCCTCCTACTACTCTCCCTTAATTATGTTCTCTCTGTGTCTTTATTGTTCCTATAGAAAGTACCACCGCCAAGAACGTTCTGTCTGCTTTCCGTCCATTACTCAGAATTATCCTGTGTAATGGTTTTGGTTCTGTTAAAGTTTTCCTTTTGAGTTTTCGGTTTCACTTTGATCCATGTTTTTCTTTGTTTTCTAGTTTTAATGGTTTAATTCCTGTTTTGGGGTGTTTTTTGGATGTATTTGAGTTCTTAGGTTTTTCTTGTTTTCCCTCTGTCACCCTTTCTGTGTCAGTTTCCTTTTCCCTCGCTCCCTTCTAGTCTCCTCTGTTCACACCTGCTCCCAATCTGCTGATTAGCCTGGTACACCTCCTGCTGTGGCTAGTTTGTCATAATTTCTTTGCCCCTTTTTTGTGAGTTTTCCTAGTTCTCAATTTGTTTGGATTTTGTGGATTTATGTTTTTTGTAGTGATGGTGAGATGAAGCCTCATGAGGCATTGAACGGTTTGGCCAAATTGCTTAAATGATTCCATCAGTGTTGATGAAGCTTCATGTGAACATGTCACCACCTACTGGTGGAGTGCAGAACTACATTTAGTAATATAATCTTAGATTTTTTTTATTTGTTTTTTTTTTCCAATTTAAGTTCCTTTGAAATTCATGATTGGTGTGTATAATAAAAGCTTTTGTAAGTTTTTTTTTCTGTAAAATGCCTTAGAAGAGAAAAACCATTTAAGGAACAGTTTATCTGCCATTTTAGTGAGATAAGCTCAAGCAGACAGTGAAAGTGCTTGTGCAAATCAAAATGAGTAAAATGAAAGGCGTTAGTCATTTTATTCAAACATAATCATTTTTCTACAGTTTCTGGGTTTAATTGGGTTGGAAATTCTGTGTTCAACCAATCTTTTGGTTAAAACAACCAATCTAATTTAATAGTGTTTTTACCAAATCTGTATTTGTACTAGGGCAAACAATACAAATTAGTCACATTAGCCAAAATACTTGTGTTATATCGCAACTTTCAAAGGTCGGTCTTGAACCAACAACCTCAGGAGTGGAAATCCATATCATTCAGCTAATGCCACTATCAAGAAGACCGCTCTTCAGAAAGCAATACTAATTAAAACCCATAATATCTGTAACCAGTGGCTCGCTCAGATTTTGATCATTAAATTGATCATTACGATCTCACCAAACTAGTTTTAACCAACTAAATTGGTTGTTTTCCCAACCAATCTATTCTAAACAGCTGAGGCTGTTTAAATGCCTGTTGAAGTTCCGGGCGAGCTGAACCACTTCCCGAAGTGGTCAAGTGGTATGGCGGGGTAGCGAGGCTTCGGACGTCCCTCCTCCAAATGAAACGCACCCTCCATTACTCGACACACACCTCGAAGCCATGACTCATCTCATAACATCACTAGTTTTTGGGATTTTTGCTTCCGTTACCCCTTTTTGTTATTTAATCTTCAAGAAACCACTTTAGCTTCAGTTTCTGCATTTGGGTCCTGTCCAACCTACCCCCCCACCGGGACAATCCACATCTACTAGAAGTTTCCTAGAATTTAAAGGGGTCCTAACTTTAGATCTATTCAGGATGGTGACTGCAGCAGAATTAGGGACAGAAAAATGCTGTCTGGTGAACAACCTCTAAGAAAGTGGGAGACGTCTTCCAGCTGTGGGATGTTGTCCTCCCTGTAGCCGCAGTGTTTGGTGAGCAGCGGCAGGTTCTTCAGGTACTCCTTGCAGGCGTGGGTCGGGTACAGCTTGGTCAGCTCTCTGAACACCACGCCCCACGTCTTCACCTCCTCCGGGGTGTACTCGATCCGTGGGATGGGCTGCCCGCTGCCAAGGAGACACATCAGAAAAAATACATGTCATGGAGAGCTCTACGTCTAAAGGTGTGTTCAAGGTGCTGATATATATGGGTTAAAGACAGTTAAAGAAAGCTTGGATCAGTAGAAGGACACATGAGAAAGAAATCAGGAATTCAATCAGAACTGAGGAAAGCAGATGACTCACAATTTGTAGTTCATGGCCACTTCTACAAAGTACTTCCTGCGCTGGCGATAAACATTGTCCTTAAACCCCTGACAGAAGGGAAAGAGAGGAACAGAGATGAGAACATTCTGAGTCTGGATGAGACCATGCTTTAGATACAGGAGCATCACACAGCTGCCATCATAAACTCACAGGATGGTCTGCATCCAGCTCCGACCCGTACATCAGCACTCTGTGGGAGCACTGGTCCAACTCCGAGATTTTCATGGGAAACCAGGGAACATCCTCTTCATCTGGAGAAACAAAACAGAAGCAGACATAGGAAACCTTCTGTCAGCGTTTCTGCTTGTAGACATGTGGTTCCAGATTTACTGTCCTAAATGGGTTTAACATCTACTGGAGAAAAAAACAAAACAAAACAAAAAAAACAAGTTCCTACAAAGCAAGATGAAAAAATTTTTTTATTTTCTTTTACCTGATTACTGCCGGACCTGAATGAATAGATCTTCAAACGTAACTGTTTAGGGAGTTTTCATATCTAAGTCAGGAAAAGTCAGAGATCCTTTTCTAAGGTTTAGGAAGTGAGAGCCACTACCCCAGATAAAAACCAGTAAAGTTCCCCAGAAGTAACTGTGTTTCTAAAATCAATCCAAGAGCATCAATAATTTTTCAGGAGGTGAGAAAATGAGCTGACTTCACACCTGAACCGCTGCAGGCCTCACCTGACAAATCAAGGTTATAATGGCATCAGCTATTGGTAGAAACTGAGGACACACATTTTCCCTTTCAGACACTTAGACGGGTAGAGGCAGGCTCGGACTCGGAACGAATTTAGCCCTGGTATTTTTCCATCTACACTGGCCCACTTATGGACCCCATAGAGGAACTGCATGTATCATTTAGGTACTTAACATTATATCACTTCTTGTGCTCCCCAAGTTATTTACTGTCATAGGTAGGTGCTTCGGCCAGAGAGTAAGTGTTGGGGCCAGTATGATTTAAGGAGGGCTGCACTGGAAAAACGATCCAGAAATAAGTAAAAATCCCTTAAATAAAGTGTATTTAGCCCCTAATTTGAGTAGGTAAATGAGATAGTTTGCCAATGGAATGAGTATTTTTACTCTTAAAATAAGATAATAAGATAACATACACTTGAAATAAGACAATGCAATTGTATTTTCTTATTTTAAATGTAATGTGGCCCTCGCACACTGAATTTAGAAGCGGTTCAGATACCCAAATGAGTGGGCTAATGCCCGGTATCACAGATTACCAGTCCGAGCCTGGGTGTGGGGTATTGCATAAAAGAGCCAAACGACCCCCAAACTTGGAAACAAAGTCCAGTGGATTGTTTTTCATTTTCTTCTTTTAAAATCCATTTGACTTGTTTTGAACTTATCTTTACCCCCTGCACTCAAACCTATGAACATGCTGCAGGTGTGTCATATCCGTGTTCTTACCTGCCTCAGCTGACCACACGTGGGCAGGCGTGTTAAAGGAGATGATGTTGACGTGGTCTTTGAGGTGCTGCAGCAGCTCGTTGAAATCTTTCTTGCTACATTTGCAGTCAGCAAAGATCTCCACCTCATTAGGAACCCGCTTTGACATCCGGGACTCAATGTGGTTCAGGTTGACCCGCCTCTCCTGTAGGTAGAGGTTTGAGATGAAAGGGATTCATTTAGGCAGATCCAAGTGCAACATATCTGGTTCTGGTTCTATATTAGAATCCTGCACTTGGTATTAGGTGTGAATAGGGTTCTGGACCTCTTAAGCTTTTGGATCAGATTGCAGTTCTGGTTCTGACCTGGAAGAGTCGGAGAGCTTTGACCAGACAGCCAACCTCATTCTTCAGTGAAAACACCACCGCTGTTTTCCCAGAATCCTCTGCGCTCTCGCCCTCTGGCGTCTCGTTGATTGGACAAAAGGATGTCCTCCTGGACTGAGGATGATGAGGATGAAGAAAACAATTAAAACCACATCATGTTAGATCCGAGTCCAGTTTCTGTTTGGGAGGTTAAATCTTATGAGAACATTTGACAGTTTAAAGAACAAGCAGTAGAAAGTAATCGAATAAATGTAGTTGATTACTTTCAGCTTCCTGCAGGCGGAAATACGTTGCCCTCTTTTGTCGTTGGGCATCAGAACAGGTCAGAATAATCTGATTACTTTAATCCCTGCTGCAGAAATGAAGGATTATCCTGGTGAAGATTCTCAGTCATCCAGGTCATAGTAATTCCAAAAAAATGAAAAAACAGTCCACTTTGTTGCATTTGTCTGGTTCAATTTGCATGTTTTCTAAGCCAAAACAAGGCTTTGTATTTAGTCCACTCTATAAAGCCTTGAACTCAACGCTATTTCTGACATTTTCAATTGAAAAAGCTTCCTGGATGGAAGCCAAACTTCTTCAAACTTGGAAACAAAGTCCAGTGGATTGCTTTTCAACTTTATTGAAATAAAGAATTACAAACTACAAACTGAAATTAAAAATGTCAGACAGCAGTAAAGATCATCAGTAAAACAAACAGACTAAGGAGAGATTTAGATTTTATCGTTAGAGATAGAAACCAGATCAGTTTGGTGATTATTTGTCTCTTTTACTGAGTTTTATCAGTGAAACCAGCTGCTCCTTTCAGAGAGGAAACCTCCATCCATGTTAGAAAAAGTTTGTAAAGTTTATAGCGGTCTGTTTTTCAGTGTAGTCCTGTTTCTCTGACTGTGACTGGCTGGATGTGCTCTCTTCATCCTCTGACACAGTTGGTTCTGCTGGAGGTTTCTTCCTGTTAAAAGGGAGTTTTTCCTCTCCACTGTCGCTACAAGCATGCTTAGTGTGAGGGATTGCATTTAATTCAATTAGTCGACACAATCAACTGGTTTTCCTTAGATAGAAAACTTTGAATCAGTATGAACTGGATGACATGTTTTGAATTGGCGCTATAGAAATAAACTGAATTTAATTGAATTATAACAAATATTCGAAACAAAAGTAAAAGATTCAGGAGCATAAAGGTAATTAAACAATTTACACAAAAACAAATTAATAAAGTTATTGAATGATTATTGAAATTTAAATTAAAGATTAAATTAAAGATTAAAATATTTTTTTTTTAAAAGTGGGGTGGTTTCATCAGGCAGTTTAGCTCATCCATGCGTATATTTCTTTTCTGCATTCACCCAGAGCTGGTTCATAGTCACATGGTGTTATGGTACTGCATACTTATATTAACTTATAGTGTTGTTTACTTAGATCTGAGTGTCGATTTTGAGCAGGAGGGGACCTTAGATGGACCCTTGAGGAACGCCACATGTGATCTTTGTTGTCTCTGATCTTGTACCAGAGAGGCTGATCCAATTTTCCAGATGCTCTAATAGGCATCTGATTCCTTCTTTGAAGAAATCAGAGGTTTGTGTAACAAAACCAGTAAAAATGCATCAGAATAATGTCTGACAAAACTAATCTGCCTGGAAACCAACGTGTTCAGGAGGAAAGCAAAGCTTCCACCAGCACACTCCAGCCAGCCTTTGGACTTTCTCTTGGTTCCTCTGTGATGATCGAGTGGAAACAGGTTGGGAAGGATAAGCTCAGTCTAACATTGCTGCTTATTCACTCAGTTCACCAGAACTCAATCAAAACAGCTAATTTTTTAATCATGAGGATTTACATTTTCAGAGCTCTGCTCCGGTTTGGTCAGAAACTTTTTTTCAAATGTATAAATAGTTATGATACTTTTCTAATGTGGGTTTCATCAGGGATTCATTTTACATTTAAAAATCAATGGAAAGGATTTTAAATGGGTCACAGAAATGGGGAGATGTCGGATGTTTTGTGGACTGTGGTAAAGTACGACGATCACAATCATTTTCTAAGAATAAGTTGTTTTTTTTGTTTTCTTTGTTTATATTATTCATATATATATATATATATATATATATTTTAGAATAAAACAAAAAGAAAACCTTTTGTTTTCAGTCTTTGCAAAGATTTTTCAGATCAGCCAAACCAGAGAAATGAAGAGCTGTTCAGTACAGAGCAGATGTAGGAAACTGTGTTTCTATTAAACCTCTGGATCTCCAGCACAGAAGCAGTAGGTTTCCTCACAGACGGCATCTTTTTCCAGGAATCTCCATGCTGTTGGTTGAAACCAGGCTTCATTCATCTCATCAAGGGAGTCTAATCTGAACATGATGACTTGATGATATGAATGTGGTCTGGTGTGCTATTGTTTGGTTGGAAAGAAACCCTGCAGCCACATGGCCCTTTCTGGAACCAGTTTGACACCTGTGGTCTAAACTGTCCTTCCAGGAAGCTTCAGGGATTGTTTGCAAGGTCAGATCTTTGAAGGAGTCATACAGGAGAAGCTGGTCAATCATGTGAATCCATCCTTGAGCGTCTCTAACCCCATCTTTCTGCAGGTATTTCTCTGCTGGCGTATTTGTACGTCACTAACATGGAATTTTCCTCATCGGAGAACAATAATAAAGTTCCATGGAATTATTAATACCAGATATGAAGATCAGGGCAGGCGGGGAGAACAGCTGAAGCCTTAACAGAACATGAAGAGGTCTGTGATTAAATGATTTCAGTATTAAAAACACCAAGCAAGACCTTTACTAGAACCCAAAGGTCTCAGTTCTGGACAAAGAACCTGAGCTTCATGGAAACAGAAGGAACCAATCGGGCTGAGATTTACCAGACAGAAGAGGAGGAAACAGCAGAACATCTCAGAAAGCTGAACCTGAACCTGGTTGTGGCTTTTCTGCTGTTTTTTTCTGGTCATTTTCTGCAGATTCAAACTGACAAACCAACAATGGTCCCTTAAGTTTCCAACCTGCAGCGAATTAGCAGGAACTTGCTGCTCTTTTCTGTTAGTGATGCTTCAAAGAGACGAGCTGCAGCTGCTGCTTCCCTGATTAAACATGGAGATGCTGACAGACACGGACATGCAAACCTTCCGCTGCAGTATATGATCCAGAAATGCTTGATGCCCTGCAGCAGGGATGTCAAACTGGCTGGCTGCAGGTTTTCTTTCCAACCAATCAATAACACACCAGACTCCAGTCGTCTCATCATGTGAGTCTAGTCTTAACATGATAACTTGATGAGATGACTGGAGTCTGGTGAGGAGAGGGTTTACTTAGAACAATATTTATACTAACTGTATTAATGCCTGATTTTCATACTGGTTATTGTTGAATGTAAACATGGAAAATAAAGTGAAACCAGTAACAGGGAACTGAATTCCAAATAAACTGGATCTAAGAAATGAATTCATGATTTGCTGGAACCTACAGGGGAAGGCTGCTGGTTTAAATCCCAATGTAAAGCTCACGATTCCTAATCCTACCCAGGGTTTTTTTTTTCAGATAGAGATCTTCCTTCGTATTGTTAAACAAATGAAATCTATCCCCTCAGCTCTATGACTTCTTTTTATTCACTAAGGAATAAAATGAATCCAGTCGAATTCTCATTTTATCACCATCCTCCTTTTCCTCTAACGTGATCACTATGATAAATGACACTGTAAAAACTGATGAATAAATCAGTAGAAATATCTTAAATTAGGTGTATTACTCTTAATTGAAGAAGATAAATAAAATGATCTGCCAAAAGAATGAGGATTTTTGCTCCCAGAATAAAAATAATTAGATTTTATCCACTTAAAATAAGATAATGGGGTATTTATCGTCTTATTTTAAATGTAAATCATTCTCTCCCATCCTCTGAAATCAAGGGAAAATATAGTACAAATAAAATACAGTTAAATAAATAAATAAAGAAATAAGTTTCAACTGATCTGATAAATACTGAATTTGCTTAACAAACTGATTAAATTTATTTTTTCTGACTTTTTTTGGCCCCAGTTTAACCAGTTTAACCAGTGTCAGGAACTCTGACCCAGTGTGAAGTTCTAGTTTAGCTGCACTGAGCAGAAGCAGCTGAAGGCAGACAGACCCAGAGAGGAGAGGAGGATGAAGAGGAGGAAGAGTCCAGACTCTCACCATCTGTCCTCCGGTGTGTTTCTGCTGCTGCTGGCGGTTCTGTTGGTCGAACATGGCTGAGTCCAGAGACATCCCCCTCCTGGACCAGTACTTGCTGGAGAACATCATCATGGCCGGCTGCATGCGAGGTATCGGCTCTGGCCCGCCGTCCTTCATCACATGGGCCGAAGCCATGGGGAACCAGTGAGTGTAAGAGTACCAGGGCTCCAGCCTGCCGTCCTGATGCTGATGCTGATGCTGAGGACCAGAACCAACACTGCTCCATTTAAATACTCCCACAGGAGGGGAGGGGGGGAGCAGCTCCACCCACTGATGGATGGACTTGCTGCAGGGGGAGGGATAGAACCACCTCCCTCTATAGGAGGAGCAAAGCTTTGCCCTGATACAGAGTGTGAAGCTGCCAAACACCTGTAGGGGCGGGGCTTAAAAACATCTGGATCCACCAGAACAAGGATGGGCTATTCTAACCTAGCTTCATAAATTTAAAGAAATAAGCTCAGAAATGATCGAATATATCAGGACCTTCTGGATGAGACACCTTCATTAACTAATGGGTCAACGTGAAAGATGCAGCCAATCATAGTTTCAGGAAACAACCGGCAGCAGATCCACTCATCTTACACAGCGTGCTGCCTTCATCTCCATGTCACCTATTTCCACCTTTACACATCATCATCATTCATCCATCTTATCCACTCTGACGCCGTTCTGTCCTCCTCATCTCCAGATGAACACCTGAACATCACATTTTCACCTCATTTAATCAAATTTCCTTGAAAGCCTCTGAAATAAACTAAATTCCACCTCCCTGTTTGCTCATAGTTCTGAAACCTGCGGTGACACAGGCTACAGTTTGGGGTTGAGGCTAGCAGTCAGTTTAACTAAGTGAAGCAGTTCTTTATTTTTAATACATATTTATAAAACTCTTAGATGACTCACAAAGACAAAATACGTTTCCTCTTTCCGATAAAAAAACAAAACAAAAAAACAAACTTTAATGGAGTATGAATTACTGTATGTTTGTCATGCTCAATGTGAGTGTAGTGATTTGTGGCTCTGAGTTTATTGGTAATATAACATATATATATATATATATATCCCCTCAGGGCTGCATCCTGATCCCCTGCTGTTCACCCTGATGACACACAACTGTGTCCCCAGGTTCACCACCAATCACATTGTGAAGTTTGCAGACGACACCACAATGGTGGACCTCATCAGTGATGACAATGACCAGAACTACAGAGAGGAGGAGGAGCAGCTGGTGGACTGGTGCAAAGATAACAGCCTGATCCTGAACGTGGAGAAGACGAAGGAGATCATCTTGGACTTCAGGAAGAACCGGCCTAACCACGCTCCACTGGTCATCAACAGCTCAGCTGGAGAGGCAGGCAACAGCACCAAATTCCTGGGGGTGAACATCACAGACACCCTCACCTGGAATGTTAACACCATCTCACTGGTCAAAAAGGCACAGAAGCGCATGTACTTCTTGCTGAGGATGAGGAGAGCCCACCTGCCCCCACCCATCCTCACCACCTTCTCCAGAAGCACCATAGAGAGCGTTCTGACCAGCTGTCTCACTGGGTGGTGTGGAGGCTGCAGCGCCTCAGACTGGAAGAAGGTGAGAAGAGTGGTGAGAGCTTTAGAGAAGATCATTGGGGCTCTTCTTCCCTCCATTAAAGACATTTCATCCCAGCGCCTCTTGTCCTGATCCCATAACATTATAAATTATCCCTCACCCCCCCACCATGGACTGTTCTCCCTGCTGCCCTCTGGGAAGAGGCTTCGAAGCATCAGATGCAGTTCAAGCAGATTCCAGAACAGTTTCTTCCCCACTGCCATTAGACTGCTGAATGTTTATAAAATGGGGTTTTTAAAGGTATACTATGCAACCGGTGTTGATTTTCCAGCGAGGCTCCCCCCAGAGGTCGAAAGTAAAAGTGCACTGTCGTAAATATGCACAGCTGTTCTCCTGGTTTCTCCGTCAAGCCAGGCGCGGTTGTTTTGAGCTTAGCAGACTGGCGAACGCAACGAATCACCATGTCTACTGCGGTAAGTGACTATTTTGTTCCAATTTTCATACATTATTTGTTATGCATGTGTCTAACTAACAAAGATTGTAGTTAGCCAAGTTCTCGCCGTAAAGCAAGACCGACTCTCGCGAGACTTCTGAGCCTGTGGGTGCGGGCCGAGGGCTCCTGCAATTGCAAGTACGGTATTTCCCCCACAGACCACCAGGGCGGCCGAGAATACCTTTGTTCAACCTGAAATGAATCATTTAATCATCCAAAACGTTATGGAACACATTAATTAAATGAAAAATGGTGCATAGTATGCCTTTTAATCATGGCCTTATTTTCTGGTTTTGTGTTGGTGGGAAAAAAAATAACCTGTGTTATGAGTGTTATGAC